TGTTGAAAATGTCAGTGAAGACACTTGCCAGTTGGTCAGCGCATGCTCGGAGTACACGTCCTGGTAATCCGTCTGGCCCTGCGGCCTTGTGAATGTTGACCTGCTTAAAAGTCTTACTCACATCGAGAGCGTGATCACATAGTCATTTGGAACAGCTGGTGCTCTCATGCACGCTTCACTGTTGCTTGCCTCGAAGCGAGCGTAGAAGTGATTTAGCTCATCTGGTAGGCTTGTGTCACTGGGCAGCTCACGTCTGTGCTTCCCTTTGTAGTCTGTAATAGTTTTCAAGCCCTACCACATCCAACGAGAGTCGGAGCCGGTGTAGTACGATTCAATCTTAGTCCTGTATTGACTCTTTACCTGTTTGATGGTTTGTCGGAGGGCATAGGGGGATTTCTTATAAGCGTCCGGGTTAGAGTCCCGCTCCTTGAAAGCGGCAGCTCTACCTTTTAGCTCAGTGTGGATGTTGCCTGTAATCCATGGCTTCTGGTTGGGGTATGTACATACGGTCACTGTGGGGACGACGTCATAGATGCACTTATTGATGAAGCCAGTGACTGATGTGGTGTACTCCTCAATACTATAGGAAGAATCCCAGAACTTATTCCAGTCTGTGCTAGCAAAACAGTTCTGTAGCTTAGCATCTTGCTTCCTGCTTTAGTTTTTGCTTATAAGCAGGAATCAGGAGGATAGAGTTATGGTCAGATTTGCCAAGGGAGAGCTTTGTACGTGTCTCTGTGTGTGGAGTAAAGGTGGTCTAGAGTTTATTTTCCTCTGGTTGCACATTTAACATGCTGGTAGAAATTAGGTAGAACAGATTTAAGTTTCCCTGCATTAAAGTCCCCGGCCACTAGGAGCGCTGCCTCTGGATGAGCGTTTTCCTTTTTACTTATGGCCTTATACAGCTCATTAAGTGCAATCTTAGTGCCAGCATCGGTTTGTGGTGGTAAATAGACAGCTACGAAAAATATAGATGAAAACTCTCTTGCTAAATAGTGTGGTCTACAGCTTATCATGAGATACTCTACCTCAGGCGAGCAAAATCTCGAGACTTCCTTAGTATTAGATTTTGTGCACCAGCTGTTGTTTACAAATATACACAGACCACCACCCCTTGTCTTACCGGAGTTAGCCGTTCTATCCTGCCGATGTAGCGTATATCCCGCCAGCTGTATGTTATCCATGTCGTTGTTCAGAGTTACCTGTGTCTGTGTGGAGTTACCTGTGGGTCTGTGTCTGCCAATATTTGCAGTGGTCGCTGATGTGTAGCCTAAAGCTCTGTGTGTCCGGGACTTAAAAACATGCCACTTTGATACAGCTACGACTGGAAATGACTTTTCATGGCAGGTTAGGAGAGCATTTTCGCTAACCCTTTTCCTAACCTTAACCAAATTCTCCTAACCTGCTATGAAAATGTAATGTTCTTTCTCTCTCAAATAATAATTTTCTTCTAAAATCATCTTGAGATTGATACATTGAATAAGCTCTAAATTATAGTTAATTTACTCTATTGCGTTCTACAACTGAGACAGCATTATGGAAAATGTACATAATTGCATAATGGAAGCTACTGCAATATTTTTCCGGACCCGGAAGCCGTTGTACAGACAACATTCTTGGAGCCTGAGGCTCGCACCGAGGGTCAGGATGAAGATGAGTCTGAGACGGTAAGAGTGACATTTTTGGAAAAAGTGGACCCTTGCCTTTTGGCTGATCCATTTCTGATTTCAGGGTGGGTGAAAACAGAGTTGGGTGCTGTGGAATCGGTGAAGGTAACCAGAAGTGGTCTAGTGATAATTGTTTGTGTTTCTTCTGGTCAGAGGGAGCAGGCGCTCCATGATAAACTAATGGGGACAAGAGATGTGAATTGTTTTGCTCTCAAGAAAAGTGTGTCATTAAAAGGAGTGATAACTGGGGTAACGGTAAATGTGAAAGTTGACCAACTGAAGGGGAAGATTCCCGGTGTTTGTGATACTCGCCGTTAGGCGCAACGCAGACAGGGTGGTGTGAGTTGTGAAACAGAAGAGTCGTTGTCTGTTCTTTTGAGTTTTGATGTTGAGTCTTTTCCCGACAAAGTGATGTTAGGATATGTAAGTTATCCTGTACGAGCTTTTGTGCCGAATACATTATGTTGTTCCAGGTGTCAAGCTTATGGGAATGTGGCAGCTGTGTGTAGGAGGGAGGTTCCTAGGTGTGAGAAGTGTGCAGAAGGGCATGAGACAAAGGAATGTGTAGCATTGGGGAAAGTAGTTGTGTGTGTTAATTGTAGGGGTCATGTACAAAAGCTGAAGAATATATGCACATCCAGGAACTTTCCGCAGGTGCTGGAGTTCTAGGCAAACCCATGGAAAACAGAAAGGAAAACGCCACACACTGCTGCTCATGCTCCCAGGTGATTTTATTTATAACAACGTTTCGGCCCTTAGGTCTTCATCAGGCATCCGTATCCCATGTGGGGGTGGAAGGTCTTATATACTGTATATAGGGGCAGTATTCAGTGACATCACTTCCTGAAACAGGAGGTAAAAATATATAACATAGGTTCACAATATTAACATTCAATGTATCAACATATATGATCATACACAAGGAATGTGATCAATATTTACAGTAATATTGTCTCACCTGTCCATATATTGCTGCGGTGCTCACAGATCCGGGTCTTAAGGCTTCTACGGGTTTTCCCTATGTAAGACAGACCACAAGGACATTTCAACATGTAAACAACATTGGTGGACATGCAGGTAATCAGGCCTTTGATCTTAAATCTTTGTCCTGTTCGGGAGTGGGTAAATGAGTCACATTTGTACGTGAAACTGCGTTGAGCACATTGGCCACATTTGTAATCACACTCCGGAACCTTGTCCAAGAAAGTTTCCCTTTTCTCTGGTGGATAATCAGATTTGACCACAATGTCTCTCCCGTTTGGGGGTCGTTTAAAGACCATACGTGGGGGATATTTAAAGATGGGTTTCAATTGTACCAGTGCTTCCTGATAATGTCCTTAAATGCCTTCCCCAATGGTGAGTATTGGGTGAAGCATGAGGGGACATGTTCTGCTTTTTCTTTAACTTTCGTTTGAAGGCTTTCCAACTGTGTTAGCCCTTCAAAATGATCATTGGCATGTTTCACCCAATTGTCTTTGTACCCCCTTTCCTTAAACCTTTGTGTGAGGTCCGTGGTCTGTTTCTGGTAAGAAGCATTAGAGCTGCATCTTTTTCTGATGCGGCTGAATTGACTTATAGGGAGTCTTTTAATAAGTGGACGTGGATGAAAGCTGTCACGTCTAAGGAGGGTGTTCCTGTCCGTAGGTTTCCTATAGATATCTGTAGAGAGGGAGGTTTTGTCCTTAATAACCATCACATCAAGAAAACTGATTTGCCATAGGTCATAGTTAATGGTGAAATGAAGGTGCTCATTCATAGAGTATAGATGTCACGCCCTGACCTATAGAACTCTAGTTAGTTTGGTCAGGGTGTGCATGTTTAGTTCTAGTTCTATGTTTAGATTCTAGTTGTTATACTTCTATGTTTGGCCGGGTGTGATTCCCAATCAGATGCAGCTGTCGCTCGTTGTCTCTGATTGGGGATCATACTTAAGTAGCCTGGTTGCAGTCCTTGTTGTGGGATCTTGTTTGTGTTTTGGTGTGTTTGGCTTGTTTGTGTATAGCCTTCCGACGTCACGTTTTGTTGTTTTGTCAGTGTTTATTGTTTTAATAAACATGTATGCATTCCACGCTGCGCCTTGGTCTAATCCGTCTCTCAACGAGCGGGACAATAGATAGGAATGGAGTTCTTCCTGGGTCCCTGTATAGATCATGAAAATGTCATCCAAATATCTCAGAATTAGGAGAATATTGGAGAGAAAGGGGTTAAGGTCTGGATTTAGCACCACCTGTTTTTCAGACATTCCTAGATATAGGTTAGTATAATTAGGAGCCAGAGTGCTCCCCATCGCTGTCCCTTTGGTCTGGAAGAAAAAGTATCCTCTGAAGAGAAAATAGTTGGAGTTTAGTACCAGTTCAGCCAAGTCCACAATACAATTGGTGCTGGGAAGAGCATTAGAGGGACGTTCATTGAGGTAGAACTTGAGGGCCTCTAGGCCACCCTGATGGGGGATGTTAGTATATAGACTGGTAACATCAAAAGTACACAGAATAGAATTTTCAGGTATATGATCCACAGATTCCAAATGATTTGAGTCTCTGGTAAACGTGGGGAGAGAGATCGCCCAGGGTTTCACAACATAGTCTACAAAGGTAGAGATATTCTCTGTCAGAGATCCGTTACTACTCTCAATGGGCCTGCCTGGTATAGGTGGTGTCATGCTCTTGTGAATTTTGGGTAGAGCGTATATGACAGGTGTGGTTGGGTAGTTAATTTTCATATACTCATATTCTGTCTTTGTAATTTCCCCTTCATTCAAAAATGTTGACAATTAATAATGGGTCAGAGACTTGAATTGATTAGTAGGGTCCTTAGGGAGTCTTTTGTAAATTTCATCATCAGTAAGTTGTATCAGAATTTCCTTTTCATAGTCTGCAGCATTTTGTATCACTATTGCACCTCCTTAATTGTAGGGGTGCCCATCAAATCAAATTGTATTGGTCATAAACATATTTGGCAGATGTTATTGCGGGTGTAGCGAAACGCTTGGGGATCAGAAATGTCCGGTGCGAGAGAGGCAGGTTGAGGTTTCCAGGGTTAGAGTAGTGTATTTGGGTGTGCGAGACTTGACATCAGAGTTACAGGGTGTGTTAAATGATGGTGTCCCATCCTTTCAGGTTGTTGGCCTGAGGTAGGACTAAATATATGTAAATAGTGGAGTAGGGTGGTGTTATTTTTTATTTTTATTTTTTTTGTGAGTGTAGTGTTAGATGGTAGGGTATATATAAAAAAAAAATTTTTTTTTTTCAAGCAAAGTATAAGGGAGTTGTCCTCCAGTCTAGTAGGTGGCGGTAATGTAACATTAATTGGATGCCAACCGCCGTTAAACCTCATCGAAGAAGAATAAGTAGGAGCTGTGCAGACAACACACGAGTTTGGCGTTGGAGAGATTAAAGAAACTGGCAAAAATCTTACATATTTACTAGCTAATTTTCCTGCTAAAATCGCCATTCGTTGAAGAAAATATGTAAGTACTTTAAATTACCAGTGTGTGCATTGTTTAGATACAGTAAAACAGAGCCTTATCACTATGGAAAGATGTGTAGCTAAATTTGGCTAGCTGGTTGGCTAACGATAGCCAGTCATGATGACCTAACGTTACTAGCAATAGTAACTACTGTAGCTAGCTAACTAACATGTATTGTAGGTGACCCATGGTGATCATAATAAAAATAGGAAGTTATCAGCCAGCAAGCTAATACATATTGTCTTTGGCCACTTCATGTGAAACACTGGTCCTCTGTAGCTCAATTGGTAGACCCATGGGGCGGCGCACAATTGGCCCAGCGTCGTCTAGGGTAGGGGAGGGAATGGCCGGCAGGGGATGTAGCTCAGTTTGTAGAGCATGGCGTTTGCAACGCCAGGGTTGTGGGTTCGATTCCCACGGGGGATATGAAAAAAATATATATAAGTAAAAATAATAATGTAATGTATGCACTAACTGTAAGTCGCTCTGGATAAGAGCGTCTGCTAAATGACTAAAATGTAAATGTAAATGGCGCCTGTAACGCCAGGGTAGTGGGTTCGATCCCCGTGACCACCCATACGTAAAAATGTATGCACAGATGACTGTAAATCGCTTTGGATAAAAGCGTCTGCTAAATGGCATATTATTATTATATTATTATTTCCACTTTGTTAGCAGCTAACTGTTGGTCTGAATTAACGTTAGTTGTGTCAAGTCTCAATCATCATGTCGATCAACTCTGTTAACAATGAGTATCCTCAATAATCCTTCAAGGAGCCTGTTAAATAAACCCAAGTCGGAGATGACTGCTGAGGAGCTCCAGAAACGCGAGGAGGAGGAGTTTAATACTGGTCCCCTGTCTGTGCTCACCCAGTCTGTCAAAAACAACACACAGGTCCTCGTCAACTGCCGAAACAACAAGAAGCTGCTTGGCCGTGTCAAGGCATTTGACAGGTATTTATGTAGCTAGGCCACTGTAGTTGGGAAGTCATCCATTGGAGTTAAATGGTTAATCACAAATGTCCAACAAATAGACACATTTTGTCATCACATGTTACCCATATCCCCCCCAAAGACTTGATTCATAATGCTTTTTTAGTTAACTGCATACATTTGTATTCCCCTCTCAATGCAGACACTGCAACATGGTCCTGGAGAATGTGAAGGAGATGTGGACAGAAGTTCCCAAGAGTGGCAAGGGCAAGAAGAAGTCCAAACCAGTAAACAAGGACCGTTACATCTCCAAGATGTTCCTGAGAGGAGACTCTGTGATTGTAGTGCTGAGAAACCCCCTCATCACAGGGAAATAGACTGTTCATTTGCCCACTTCACCTTTCTTTGTCAAAGAGATGATGACAGGCAGTGGGTGGGCTGTCATTATGTGAAAATGGTTTTGTTTTGGATCAGAGAGGTCGCTGAGCTGTGTGTTTTAGAATTTAGTGTGAGAAAATGATACCTTCACACTTTGGATTGCTGATTAGGATCATTCCTGGCGTTCTATTTTGTTTAGGGCGCTCATTTAGTTTTTCATTTTAATAATAAAAGACTAAAAGTGTTCAGTGTTGTGAATATGTCTACACACTCTTAGCCAGATGGATTCTTTACTGTATGTTCTATCTCAAATAGTTTCAGGCTCGAAAGCAAGGGATATGTTGGGATGAACAGAACTGACTCTTGACTTCTCTTTCTCCTTCTTCCTCTCCATCCTCTCACTCTCCTCTAGCCTGTTTCCCCTGACAGAAGCTTGGGTGTCAGTGTTGATTTCAGGTGGCAGCGCTCAATATGTGACAAACTGCCGTTTAAAGACCCATACATTATAGATGAGACCAGATGTGCAGACCGTCACTTCACACCCCGCTCTGCGTTCTCTGTATCATCTTGTCCCTTGCTGCGGCTCCCCCCCTCCTGACCACTTTGTTAGCTAATTGTCTCAATAGCATATATTTATTTATTCTCAAACAGTTGGCACTTAAACCAGTGTGGTTGACTTGGGGCTTGAGTGACCCGTCCCAAGGTTATTTGCCTTTAAGTGGCATACTGTACAGAGCATTCGGAAAGTATTCAGACCCCTTGACTTTTTCCACATTTTCTTACGTTACAGCCTTATTCTATTTATTTTTTTAATCTGTCAATCTACACACAACACTCCATAATGACAAAGCAAAAACAGGTTTAGAAATTTTTGGATGTTTATTAAAAAATAAAGTATTCAGACCCTTTACTCAGTACTTTGTTGAAGCACCTTTGGCAGCGATTACAGTCTTGGGTATGACAATACAAGCTTGGTACACCTGTATTTGGAGAGTTTTTCCCATTCTTCTCTGCAGATCCTCTAAAGCTCTGTCAGGTTGGATGGGGAGCGTCGCTGCATAGCTATGTTCAGGCCTCTCCAGAGATGTTCGATCGGGTTCAAGTCCGGGCTCTGGCTGGGCCACTCAAGGACATTCAGATACTTGTCCCGAAGCCACTCCTGTATTGTCTTGACTGTGTGCTAAGGGTCGTTGTGCTGTTGGAAGGTGAACCTTCATCCCAGTCTGAGGTCCTGAGTGCTCTGGAGCAGGTTTTCATCAATCTCTCCGTACTTTGCTCCGTTAATCTTTCCCTCGATCCTGACTAGTCTCCCAGTCCCTGCCGCTCAAAAACATCCCCACAGCATGATGCTGCCACCACCATGCTTCACCGTAGGGATGGTGCCAGGTTTCCTCCAGACGTGACGCTTGCCATTCAGGCCAAAGAGTTCAATCTTGGTTTCATCAGACCAGAGAATCTTGTTTCTCATGGTCTGAGAGTCATTTAGGTGCCTTTTGGCAAACTCCAAGCGGGCTGTCATGTGCCTTTTACTGAGGAGTGGCTTCCGTCTGGCCACTCTACCATAAAGGCCTGATTGGTGGAGTGCTGCAGAGATGGTTGTCCTTCTGGAAGGTTCTCCCATCTCCACAGAGGAACTCTGGAGCTCTGTCAGAGTGACCATCGGGTCCTTGATCACCTCCCTGACCAAGGCCCTTCTCCCCCGATTGCTCAGTTTGGCCAGGCGGCCAGCTCTAGGAAGAGTCTTGTTGGTTCCAAACTTCTTCCATTTAAGAATGATGGAGGCCACTGTGTTCTTGGGGACCTTAAATGCTGCAGAAATGTTTAGTACCCTTTCCCAGATCTGTGCCTCGACACAATCCTGTCTCGGAGCTCTATGGACAATTCCTTCGACCTCATGGCTTGGTTTTTGCGCTGACATGCACTGTCAACTGTGGGACCTTTTATAGACCGGTGTGTGCCTTTCCAAATCATGTCCAATCAATTGAATTTTACCACAGGTGGAGCCTAATCAAGTTATAGAAACATCTCAAGGATGATCAATGGAAACAGGATGAACCTGCTCTGTCTTTGATTTACAGCCCTCAGGTGAAGCCTTCTGGGATGTGTGTGTCAGAGAGAGAGAGAGAGGGAGAATAAACTTTAAACAAACTTGGATAAACTCAAACTAACTCTCTTTGTAATCTGTAGGCCAACTCATTATTTTCCTGATCAGAGATGGGAGAAACATTCCTATTTCTCTTTTTTCGGTCTCTGTCTGCAATAGTTCATGTTATCACCAATAATACAGTATATTCAATCTCTTGAGTGTTCTGTTTAGTTACAAGCATGCACACCTATTCATTAATTCCTAATGAGTTATAGAAAAGGGTGCCATGTGTCTTTATGCATGAGTGAGACTTCTTGAGTCCATTTCCCTCCAGATTTTGGGGTGAGGCTCTTCAGCAGGAAGGGGGATGTTTTATTCAGTAGGCAGCTGTGGCAGAAGGCGCGATAAGAGGGGAAGTGTGATTATGATAGCGATCGGCCATGCATCGATACTCTCCCCTCCGTGCAACGCGACACCCTCGCCCAGCGTGCGGCTCACACTCGCCATCGATCGTGCCAGGTAACCCGAGCCGCCGCAGTTTGTTTCCAAGCAGAGCCATGGTCAGGGTATCAGTGCGACGAGGCATGTGGAGGAGAGTGATAGAAAGTATAAACTCTGTAAACACAGTAGTGGAGGCTGTTGAGGGAGGACGGCTCATAATAATGGCTGGAACGGAGCGAATGGAATATTTGATACCACACATTCCTCTCCAGCCATTACCACAAGCCAGTCCTCCCCAATGAAGGTGCCACCAACCTCCTGTGACATACACAAACATTATTGAATCATTTTTAGTTCATTTAATTAGGCCTACATATAGGAGTATTAATACATACACATCACATATGTTACTGGCAGACTAAAGGGAAATGTGGAGATAGTGTGTACTGCTACATGGTCAGGCCAGCTGTGTTGAGCTGCTATGTGTTGTTCTTTTTCCTGTTAACAATCAGATAGCGGTGCAATTATAGACTACATAGCGATAAATGTATTTTCTGCATACAACCTGACTGGAATGTTTTTTTCTCAAACAAAATAGTAGGCCTACACTTCATTATCAATATGAACACATAAAATAATTATCCTCTTAATAAAAACAGGTAGTATCTTCCGCCATCTAGCGGTGGATATTAGTAGTGTATGTTGTTTGGCCGCCCAGTAGAGGGCGTGCTTAAACTTTTTAACTACTGCAGGCTGCATGAGCGCAAAATGCTGAGCAACACTCAATGCCTGTCAAACACCACCAGTCTACAGACCTAGCAAACAGTTGAAGAGGGACAAACCTCTCAGGTTTGATAAAGCATTGTCCTCATGAAGAAAAAATGAAGAGTTTCAGCTGTATATCCTCCTTAACGTAGACCTATCTTCTTCCACTGTGCTGTGACTTACATATTCGTGCCTTAGGTCATCCTCCCAATTTCCCCTAGTAGAGGTCAGAGACCTAGTCAGCTCATTTGGGCTACATTTCTTTAGCTTCCCTCGACCTGGCGACCAGCCCAGATCTCTTTACCCCCCTCCCTGTTTACATAATGCCCTCTCTAAAAAGAGGGCAAAAAAACTCTCACACTAACACACCTAATGTACTCGGGTCTTCCACTTATCTCTCACTGTCCAGCCGCTCTAACATAACCTTGGTCTCCACCTTAATCTGACTCTCATATTATCTAATCACTGGTGTCCAAGTCCAACAGGTCCCATGTGAAACTGTGCCAACTATGGAAAGAGCTGACGTCACACTGTGGTACAGAGGACAGGAGGGGAGATTCCTAACATTACAGCACAGTCTACTTCTGGGTGAACCCCTTTCTGGGAGTAGAGGGACTGTCTTTGACACACACACACACACATTTTCATTTTCTCCCCAGTTTTCCACAAAATTACATGCTTGGATGTGGAAAATCGGATTATATAATTAACATGAGTTTATATAATTGCTTGAAAATGTGTACTCTCTTTTTGGGTGCAGTTTTAGTAGTGGCCAGCAGACAGCAGATTGAATGGGGGGAGCTCAAATTGTGTGACAGGCAGACAGTTGCTCAGTAGATTGTAGAATGGTCAGCTGTCGTGTGTGTGTGTATTAAGGTTTATCAGTGCTTCAGATGTTTACACATGCCATGGAGACATAATGCATTCCTTCCTCTTCTGCTCCAGTTCCCTCTCCCCCATAAGGAGAAAACAGGCAACAGTATCGCTCAAGAAGTTTTAGGAATGCAGTGCAATATTTTATGGTGGTGACAGCACTGTATAAATCGCTATAGTCTTTCCCATTATCTTCCTCCTTCATTTTGTATGAAGTTAGTAGGCCTATAGCGGTGGCAGGTAGCCTAGCAGTTAGAGCGTTTGGCCAGTAAACGAACGGTTGCTGGTTTGAATACCTGAGCTGGCAGGGTGAAAAATCTGTTAACGTGCCCTCGAGCAAGCCACATAACCGTAATTTGCTCCAGGAGAGCTGTACTACTATGGCTGACCTTGTAAAACAACACAGTTCACCGTGGCGATATATATATATATATATATATATATATATATATATATATATATATATATATATATATATATATATGTATGCCTACATAGAGTCTACAACTAGTTTCTTAAACTATTTGTTGTCTCACCACTATTCACGTTATGTGCACAACGTTGATTATAGGGCAGGCTTGTTTAGTCCAACAGGCCTATGTTTCTTAAATAATTATAAATTGTTTGTTCCCAACTTTCCATCAACTGCATTGAACACCCGAATTGGAGTTATGCCTTTCAACCACTAGGGAAAGGCAGAGTGGTGTGGATATTTTCCCCAAGGTTAGTGCTATCCGGTATACTTGGGACATGGACATCACTACCCAAAACCCAAACCGTTTTAAAATGTCCACTTCAACCGGGGATCCCGTCCCAAGGATCCCAGATAGCAATTACATTTTTTCTAACTACAGAGAGGAGGGGCGGGTGAACATGAATGAAAGCCTACTTCGAGTTAAAAACTGGCGGCGGGTTGAGCTTAAACACCAATGAAATTACGCAGACCGGGACGAAGGTCTGGAGAAGATTCACAGCATTACCGATCAAGAGTAGTGGCCACTGTGACAAAAAATAAGAAAGAGGCTTTAGTTTGTCCTGACACGGTTTGTTGGTGACCCCTTCGCTCGTTTATGGTAGCCTGTTTAGAAAGGAGAG